CATCCATCCATCCAACCATCCATCCACCCATCCATGCAACCATTAATCCAACCATCATCCATCCATCCATGCAACCATTAATCCAACCATCATCCATTCATCCACCCATCCATCCATCCATCCATCCAACCATCCATCCACCCATCCATGCAACCATTAATCCAACCATCATCCATTCATCCACCCATCCATCCATCCATCCATCCATGCAACCATTAATCCAACCATCATCCATCCATCCATGCAACCATTAATCCAACCATCATCCATTCATCCACCCATCCATCCATCCATCCATCCATGCAACCATTAATCCAACCATCATCCATCCATCCATGCAACCATTAATCCAACCATCATCCATACATCCATCCACCTATCTACCCATCCATCCATCCACTCATCCATCCATCCATCCACTCATCCAATTATTCAACTTTCCATCCATACATCCACCCACCCACCCATCCATCCATCCATCCATTACCTGCAGTTGGGTCACAGGTGCAGCAGGTTTAGCAAACATCTATTTCCACCTCCTCCAGCTCTGTGTTAGAGGCATTCCCAGACCAGCCAAGAGACATGGGTGCAAATTTCCTAAACCTGATAGCGCCACAAAATTGATTTATGATCCATGTGCACCAAGGATTTTGTCTGTCGAACAAAATAGCAGACACAATTGATTAAGTGTTTTCAAAAATATGCCTTCAAAATATGAATACATGATGAGTATCAGAATGTGCAAAATACTAAGATATGCAGATAATTAGCACCCACAATGTGATTTATCAAACTCAAACTGATTGCAGGTGCTCATTTTTGTGTTTTCTATCCAGCAGGTTTCAGAACAAACTTACTGCCATTGTTCCTGCTCTGCCTCAGATGGTGCTACTCACATCACGCCCATTAATACAACGTGCAGTTGTTTGGTTTGCACAGCAGAGTTAGGATTTTAGTAAATCAAGCCCTTAGTCTCACCAGTGGGTCCTGGCTCTTTCCTGAGGTCTCATCCCAGGTGGACATGCCCAGAAAACCTCAATCCAGGGTGCATCCTTACCAGACACCCAAAACCACCTCAAATGGTTCCTCTCWCTGAGGAGGAGCAGCGGCTCTGCTCCGAGTCTCTCTTGAGCCCCCTCTTCAGGGGCGTGCTTCGGTTCASCTTCGGCCAAATGTGTCTCTACTTCTGGGGACAGAGTGATCTGAAATCAGCAGACATCCTGGGAGGTTTTGGACCAACTGCACACTCACTGTTACACAAGCACTTRTAAACAGAGCCGTGACATAGAGGGAAAAAAAGACTACCGACCAATGAAATCACAATAGCTAAAGCCACGTGAAAACAATCTGCCAACAATCACCCCCAAAGAGTGAGGGACACACTGACATAGAGACACACACACCTGAGCAGAACCGAACACACATGAACCACATATAATAAAACTTCACAATGAAGACTAAACTCACCCTGGTGCCTGAGATCCAATCAATAAATTTAAGACAAAGCAGTGACCAGCAGTCAGGGTGTCAGCTGGCTGATCACACAAGAATAAAACCCAGAGTTAGGAGGTTTAACCATGCAGGATAGATAAAATCAATTTCATACAGAAACCTCCAGAGACCTTTTACAGCCCTGCAGAAAGAATCAGTTTCTCCCTCTTGATGACAGAAACTCATCCGATGGTCCCTGACATTTATGTCTGACTTTTAAAGCCATCATTTTCCTCAGTCTTGACTGTCTTCCTGTAAAACAGAGCAGAGTGAGTGTCCTCCATCTGAGGAGCTCAAACCAYCATGAGCCACTGTTATTACCACTGAAGAATAGATTTGTTGGCYTCAAGTTTCTGAGCTRAGGCAGGCWGATGTGTTTTATTCAGTGTAAAGCAGAGGGGTTCTGTGGAAAGGTTAGGAGCAATAAGTGCCATACCTGTTGTGGGTAGCGTTTTGAACATCCTCAGTTTAGAGGAGTTGAATTTTGGCCAAACTGATAAGTCTGAGTCAGGCCTCCGGTCACACAAGTGTTCACTGGTTCATGTAAACACTATTATCATCATCATCATTATTATTATTATTATTATTACATTTCTTCACACATTTCTTGTCCTTTCAGCATGCAGTTATGGTAAAATGCAATAAGAACAAATAGTGATTCTGCAAATAAAATGTTCAAAAACAGTTTTCCAACCAAAATGAGTGTACATCTGTTTCCCCCTCAGTAACGCATCCTGCTCCAAAAATGTGGTGAATACAAATAAATATTTCAATAAATCCAGTGAAGTTAYGTCCAACCAAAGTTATCAGGAGTCCTCAAGTCTATAAAACAAGTGTATTTTCTAATGAAACTTTGCAGTATTTTTTCCATCACAGACATTTTTAAGCCTGCTTGTCATTTAAAAATAGTGGGAGGTGGTGCTTCAGCCATGAGTACATCATTGCCACAAAAAAAGGAGTATTTGAACTTTCTTTTTTCCCCCAATCCATCCAGTGGTGTCAACCCCAAGATATAGTTAAACATCATTATTCAAACTTCTAAACCATCAATTTCACATTACAAAGATGTTTGGTTATAATTTGAAATTCCTGCTGGAATTTACCCCAAGCTAACGACTACCGCTAGCTGCTGCAGACCATAGAGATCTGTGTAAATACCCGTCTATAGATGGCAGTGTATAGTGTTKTCATGAACTGCTATGAAATCTTTGGTCTTGGCTACTTTCAGACACGCTATTAGTTTGTCAGCTGTTCAAAGATCTACCTACAACAGGTAAGATATTCTTTTCCTTAAAACYCTTCAACAACACCTTACTTGCTGACTGAGGGCCAATTGAATAATGGCACAAAGATCAATAAACATACATGAGAACGTGGGTCTAAACACAAAAACTCATAAAATACTTCAGAAAACACCAAAATAAACAAACCAAAACACAAACTATGATAGATAGTTATCCCTTTGTACTGAAATTTATCCTCATTTTGTCACAAGTTTAGGCTCGAGAGAAGAATACTGTAGAGAAAACTCCTGGTTTTAAAACAGGTACAGCCTACACTATATTTAGTTTAAAACAAAGTGCAATCATGTTAATAGCTTATTTTGGGGTCAAGTACCACCTTGACACCTTTGGAATTAGACGTTCATCATGAGACATGTGGTCAGTGCACCACTTGCTCTGTCACTAAGTGCTGCTCATGAAGAGAAACCTTGGAAACTRATACAGAAGACACGACCCAACACTCAGCACACCCAACATAAAAAAATACTTCAAAAACATGTGTTGTTGTAGCATTAAATAGAAATTAATATAAACATTCAAACCTGTGCTTAGCTTCCAAACAACATGGTTTCCTTTAAAGTCTAAGACTTCATGAGCTGCAGACTAAATCYTCATCATATCCTCACTGTAAGACTGAGGGCTTGACAAGAGTTACCCACAAATGCTGCAGTGATATTAGTCAACCAAGAAATGAGACTGAAGTCACCTCCTGTCACTGTGGCAGCAGAGCACACAGGAAGGAGCAGTGTTTTCCTCACATGCAGCTAATCAACCTGCAAGAAAATCAGTTTTGCTGGCTGAACTCTGCCGATGTGTGTCATCAGACTGTAGGACTGAAGCTGTCAGCGAGGTTGTGTTATCACCACTGTTTAGTGACAAAGATCTGCAGTTGCTGACCTTCTGTCAACATAAATCTCATCTCATTCAGAACATTTGATTTGTCCTGAAGACAAACAGAATATTACCGCAGGTAAAGATAAAAAAACATGTTTTGAGTTTGACGCTAGTTTTACAGAACTTTAAAATGATGCACACATATAGGCCTTCAAAAGGCAACATTTTATTGCTGCAGGGGCGGGGCCACAGGGGCATTGGCCCCAGCTGAAATTTGATTGGCCCCCTGAAGTGCCCCTGTCCTGTCACTCATCTGTCCTTAGCAGAGAGCTATGATGCTGGGTGCAGTTTCATGTCTATACACTAGTGACCCTATTGAGTCAAATAAGAAAGTCCAGCATGAATCTTACAGAAGTCTTCTTTTCTTTTTAAGAAAATTTGAACAATCCTGCAAAAGTCTTTCATCTGACAAAAATGGCTGAATTTTCTCACATGCTGTATATAACTTAACAAACACAGAGCATATTTTCTTTATACAGTAAAAATGCATGTAAAATTAGTAAGAAAAATTTACTTAATTTAGTTTTTTAAATTACATTACCTTACAAGTGTTCAAACATGTGACTGGTTAAATGTATATGCCATGCCAAAACTGGGCATTTGTGTGCAAGGATGTTGAACAAATACTTGGCCCCTCTATAAATTTTACGGCTCCTTGGTGGCACCTTACTCAGAAAAATCCAATATCCGGCATTGTATTGCTGTAATCAACATCCTTTTTGACTTTAGGGTCACCTTGTAGTCAAACAACCAAAAAAAAGGGGCAAACATAAGGACCCACAAGCCACATGTGACCCACAGCGTTATGTGTGACCCGTGAGCTCATCAAACATTTATTAATGTCCTAAAATAATTGTATGCTGCTTTAAAGCCAGCACTGACCATAAACTACTAAATAATAAAAGTGCTGCAAAATGACAGCAACCCACCTCTAGGTGGAGATGCACAGGGTTCAAAAGCAAAATTCTCTGTGTAAAATCTCCATTTTGCTGCATTTTCACTTTTGCTGCAGCCCAGTTATACTGGGAACACTTCTAAGTTGTTAGAAGTGTGGAAATTTGGCTGTCAGAAAGTGGGAGGGTACAGAATTCATGATGGTAGCTACACACCACACCTCAACAGGGAGCAGAACTCTCTTCCTTTTAATAGTATTTCTGTATTATTTATTTCACATGTAGTCAGTAGACGTACTTTTCAGTCTTTATAAGAGGACATGTTAAAATGCTGTTTCCATGCAGGAAATGCCACATAGAGCTCAGTTATTGTTTGTTAGCTGTGCTCAGCTGCAGCGATGAGACGAGGAATGTGATGTTTAGTGGTTAGTTGAAGTTAATGTTGAAATTAATCATAGTGTCCCTTTCTCATGTGGCCTTCAGTGAAAACAATTACACATTAGTCTTATATAGCACTTTTACAGACGCTTTAAAAAATTTGTGCATTATGCCAGGGCTATTCAAATGGCGGCCCGTGGGCCACATTCGACCCGCAAGTGACCAGAGTTCGGCCCACCAATTGGTTCATTCATTTCTTAAGCTCAAACCCCCAGTTTACTACTTTAAGCACTCTAAATTATTTTAGTTAAACATGGATGAACCATGAACCACGAACTATGTTTGGCATCTACAGAAACATCAGAATCTTGGCTAGAAGCTGGTAAAAAAAAACATTTCTATGCACACTGAAGACAGTTAAAATTACAAGCAGTTGGATATAGAACTATAAAAGTGAAAATAAAATTGGTTTAAAAATTTGGCAAGTCAGAGATGTCAAATAGGAGGCATAATGTGTTCTTTTTGTTTTTGATATTGTTTAATAATCAGTACTTTATAAGGTTCTGTATATTGTATTCATGATTAAATGCAGCAAAATAAACTATTTCAAAGGTAACAGATCTTTTTGATACTTGTTTTGTCCTGATGCATCTCAGTAATCCAGGTAAAAAATCAAAAAGAAAAAAAATTGTATAGGTCTTCTGGACGGGTTCTTCTCTAATGAAACGTTTCGTCTCTCCTCCAAGAGACTTCTTCAGTCTGAGAGTTTCAGGCAAACTCTCAGACTGAAGAAGTCTCTTGGAGG